GGGATATGTTGTGTTTTTGGGTACTTATGAGACTTTATAAAAATGTGTTTTTCTGCCTGGAGATAATTGAGTTTCATACAGGACTTGACTCAATTAATTCTCAGGCTGAGGGGAGGGAATGTGTGGGAGTGTCACCTACTATAGTGCATTATTATTGGCTTGTAACAATTGTCATCCTGTTCCTGACAAGGTCCAGGTGGGTGTTCCCTTGCATGAGGACTTGCATATAAGGCCAGCTGTGGCACCATTAAACTGAGTCCTGCTTAACCCTCAACACGTAGCTTGGTCTCGTGATTGGAGGGGAACTGCTATATCACTGCTAGCTCTTATAAGAGCTATACAGCTATACTCTCCTGGAGGAGAGGTCCTTCCCACATGGTCCTGGATATCAGAGGTTGGTCCAGGGTGAGAGGAAGACAGTGAGATCCCAAATAAGCCCCCGTGGTTGTGGAGTCTGTACAGGGGAGGGCTGGCAGCCTTAGGCCTGGGGGGCAAAACCAGTTAAGTGGCCCATTGCACCACCAAATCAGTTCACCATCCATGTCCACCTTTTCCTGGTTTTATAACGGATATTGAGGTTATGCTAATCAGTAGCTCTTTGCCATAACCGCTCCTTAACGGCTCTGACTTTCAATGTTGTAAGAGCGCAGGCTGAGAATCTCTGAGCCTGTGCTCTGACTCACTAACTGAGCGCCGGAACCGCGAGGGAGAGGATATAATCTGACTGCACCTACTGCTGGTGAGCACCAGTGGACCACCAACTAATCATTTATATTGAATATGCTGGTGTCCCCAACTTGTGAGCTGTGTTGTCCACCGGGCGCCTCTGTTGTCATGGCACCCTGCGTGACTGCAAAGCTTGCACACCACAACGGCTGGTCCTGCTGACACACACTGATGTTACTACTTAGACATCCCGCAATATTAATAGTGACATCAGAGTAAACACCAATAAACTGTGTAAACAGAGCTGATCCCCCCAAATTTATAAATATTTGCTTACTGGATTTGTTGTAAGATTAAATCATGCCTCCTCCTCTCTCCCATGCACTGTTCTGTAGGCTGGGAGGAAGTGAAGAGTAATCACATTCTCCCAGCACAGGGCCACTTGTGGCTGCATGGGGAACAGCTGTTTAATGTAATGCTTGCAGGACAGCCAGCTGCCGCAGAACCTCTTTGTTCCCGTCTCTGCAAAGGGCTCCAGGCACTGCTTGCTGTGAGTGTGAGCCACTGTAAATTAGGGGCAGAGGGCACTTGCACTGCGGTAAAGACGGATCTGGGCAGGAGGAGAGTGCTGTGTAATCAGTGCACTCCCCTCCTGAGGGTCACCAGTTGACTGGTGCACCTGCCCAGGATCAGAGCCGGTGCAAGGATTTTTGCCGCCCTAGGCAAAAGAAAAATTTGCCACCCCTGCATGTGACATCAGAATGCCCCACCTATATGATCTGCCATATGAACTAATGACAGTGCTGCACACAGTGCAGGGACCGGCTGAAGTGGTTCTGGGGACCATAGTGTCCCTTTAATGTGAGGTAAATTATAGATTAGTGTCACTAACAATATACTAGATTGCCTACTTACAACCAGATGAGGATGATGATGGGCTGCAGCTTGGCTCCTCTGGTCTGGTGTAGAACAGGATCTCTGGAGGCTGTTTGTAACTGTGGTCACAAAATTCAAAGTTCTAGTAGAATGGGAAGCAGCTCAATTTTTTTGGGGCCCCTTACACAGCTCAAGGTCTGGGCCCCAGGGCCTGATGGTGAGTATGCCCATAAGGCCCACCTATAAGTCCACCTACATGTTCCACCCATGAGTTCGCTCACAGGGAGTGGAGTGTGTAGGGGATGTGTTATGTGTTATTGTAGAGGATCTAATGTGTGTGCTTATGATATGTAGTGTATGGGGATACCAGTTTGTGTAGGTGATGCAGTGTATTTGTTTGTAGTGGAAACAGTGTGTGATTGTGTATAAGGGATGTATTGTGTGTTTCTGGTTGTGTGTAAAGGATGCATTGTGTGAATCTGTGTTTGTATGCCTAAGGGATGCAAGGTGTGTGTCTGTAAGTGTGTGCATTGAGTGTGTACACAGGAAGCTACCATGCCTTTGAGGTGCCCCTGAAAATTAATGAACAGATGATCCGATTTTCTGAATTCTTTTGTTCTTGTTAAATAAATAAACAACGCTCTTCTGATGTCCAATTTCTGCCATATGAGCTCTTTAGGAGATGAAGCATCGCTATAAAATGAAGGTAATATGATTGGCTGATTAACCGTCTTAGAAGACAACACTTTAGGTAGAAAAGACGGTGTTGGATAAAGAACAACCTTGTCTTTGTGAAAAATGGTGAATTCATCCGAGGAAGAAAGCACGTGAAGTTCTCCCACTCTTTTAGCTCATGTGATGGCTATCAGAAACAAAACCTTGAGAGACAAAAATTTTAATGGAACTTCTTCCAAAGGTTCAAAGGGATGAACACAAGAGCTTGTAGGACCAGGGTTAAATCCCACGTTGGAAACACAGAACGCCTAGGTGGTCGTTTGAGACTGATGGACCTAAAAAAACGTCTGATGAAGACATTGGCAGCCAGATTTTTAATTAGAAAAAAACTTAAGGACCGATACTTGCACCTTGAGTGTGGAGACACCCAGCCCAGCTGTAAACCCATCTTGTAAAAAATGGAGAATGTTATCTATAGATGGATGCAATACTGGGCAATGGTGTTCCTTACCCCAGTGTAAAAACTTAGACCAAATCCTAAAGTAAGTCTTAGATGTAGATTTTCTAGTAGCGTGGAGTAAGATTGGTAGTCTGTCTTCTTGTAAACCTTGGTTTTGAAGAATTAGCCTTGCAGTAGCCAAGCTGTCAACCTGAAAATTTCTAGGACTTTTAAGGGTAGGTCCCGGTTCACAATAAGTAGATTTGATCTTGGAAGTTCCTAATAATTGATGGCCATTTCCTTTATTGCCGCAAATCAGACTCTGTTTGGGCAATATGGGATTATCGCCAATACTCTAGCTCTGTCCGTTCGTATCTTGAGAAGGACCTTTGGGATTAAAGGCAGAGGTGGAAAGACATAAGCCAGTCGGAAGTTCCATTTTATCGATAAAGCGTCTATCCAATTGGGTTGATCTGTTATGCATAGGGAGGCGAAATTGTGAACCTTTTTGTTTGAGGCTCTTGCCATCAAGTCTACTTCTGGAAGACCGAATCTTTCTGTCAGGTTTCTGAAGATTTCCGGGTTCAAGGACCATTCTCTTTGGTCCCACTTCCCTCTGCTCAGATCGACGGCTATTATATTGTCGCTGCCTCTTATGTGAACTGCCTTGATGTCTTCCAGATTTTGTTGTGACCATTCCATAATTTCTGCACAAAGACCGTAAAGCTTCCTTACTTTGGTTCCTCCTTGGCGATTGATATATGAGACTACCGTCCGATTGTCTGATTGTATCATCACTGCTTTTTGTAGTATCCAATGCCTGAGGTGAAGTAGTGCGTAAAGTACTGATAACAATTCTCTGAAATTTGCGGATTCTGTCGCCTCCCCTAATGACCATTTTCCTTGGAACATGGTGGTGCCTAAGTGAGCTCCCCAACCTGTGCTTGAAGCATCTGTAGTGACTATCATCCAATCTTTTGGTCGAAAGGATAATCCTCCTGAAAGGCATTCTAATTTTTTTACTTGAGGGGATAACCTGAAAATTTCGTCTAAATCTTCCTCCTTTTTTGACCAGGTAGTGAGGATATTCCGTTGCAATGGCCTGACCTCTGACCTTGCCCATTTGACAGCTGGAAAGGTGGCAATTAGAAGACCCAAAACACCCATGGCCTGTCTGAAGGAACAAGTTTCCATCCTTTGGAGATTGGAAATCTCTTCTCAGATTTTCCTCCTTTTTCATTTGGGAAGAAAAATTGACATGTAGACTTAATTGATCATGAATCCGAGAAACTCTTTCTCTCTCGTGGGGATGAGTACTGACTTTTTTCAGTTTAGGATCCAGCCATGGTTTTGAAGAAACCTTATAGTGACCTGCATCCATGCAGTCAGTAGGTACTGCACAGCTTCTTATATTCGCCAGATTTAAAATGTTTGCGTTTTTTTTTGTTTTGTATATGCCTTTAAGGTTCCGGTATGCGCATGCGTGTTAGCGCACCCGGAAGCTTAGGTGGAACGCAACACAGGCATGTGTTCCACCGCTGTGTGCATGCTCGGACCGAGCTCCACCTCAAGGAAGCATTGCCGGAACCATTCTCGGCATAAACAGACTCTCCCTCCACTTGCTCCGTAACCTTACCAGTCAGGAGCATGGTCACTCAGCCTACCGCCTGGGCAGGACTCGGACCGGATCCCCCAGACAAAAAGCCTGTGTGTCTCACCATCTGATGTCCTGTCCTTCCCTCTCGGGACAAGAAAGAAGACTGGGGTAGGTTTGGCGGTACAGCACTTTATAGGTAAAGGGGGAGGGTCCTTTTTTAAATTAATTGCTAAGATGTCTTGTCCAGAGGGAGGAGCATAACCCTTCAGTTACTGCCACCATATGACATAAAAATATAGGTAATTTACTCATTTACCATATGCAGAGGGGATCAGGCTCTTTTTTCCCCCCAGTCTCTGGGGGTCTCCTCTCCGGTCCTCAATGCGGCTTCTGTAGCAACACAACCCTTTAATGTCCCATCTGGGGTGTCAACTGGTTTAGATCAAATCAAACTTTGATTATTTGTCTATCTACTCCTTCCAAATTGATTAATTAATGCGTGCACGCTCTTCCTAGAAGTAATTCACACCGGAGACAAAGTTTCTGATTAGTGAAAAACCTGAGGAATGCTTTATTCCCCGGAGTGAGAGCCCCTTTTAAAGCAGAAATACGTCATGTACAGAGTCACAGTTAACATTCAGTATACATTCAACAATTGGTTAACAGTCTAAAGGGTCTTGTCTAAACCCACCCTACAGGATGTAATGTCATCATTACACAGTTCTCCTACCCACATTCCAGCTCCATCTTGGTTACACGATGGTAGGGGGAGTGAGTAGTTAATGAACAGAGAGGGGCTGAAGGGGAAACAGTTACTTTAACAGCGATTCTCCATTTTGTTACACGTGGCACATAGCTGTTAGTTACACAAAGGAAGTGGGAGAGGAGTTAGCAAAGGAAGTTGTTCTTTTAACACAGGAATTTGTTACACGAGGCTTGCTCGATGGGAAGGGGGGAGGGTAGCCGGAAGGTAGGAATTTACAGAGGAAATAGTTACTGAGCACACATGTACAGAGTAAAAAATAAATTTTACCCATTAAAGTATTTTGTCCATAACATGCATGCAGCTCATCAAAAAGCCTGGGGCCACTAAAAATGACCCAAGCTAACAGAGGAGAGACCCAGGTTTCTAATGATACCTGGGTATCCTGGTGTGAGCAGGGATTTAGTCCTGCTTACACTACAATCTAGATATAGGCATTTAAATGCCTATTTAAGCAGATACACGCCGTGCTGACTTCCAGCACTGCATGTAGCTCATCAAAAAGGCTGGGGTCACTAAAAATGTCCCCAACTGATAGAGGGGAGCCCCAGGTTTCCATTAATACCTGGAACTCCCTTGTGTGAGCAGGGATTTAACCCTGATTACACCAAATTGTAATAGTGGGGATTTAAATCCCCATTTAAATGCTTGTTTGCAGCGCTCACTTTGAGCTCTGCAAACAGAGCATAGGTCAGTCTGGGGCCACTAATTCTGGCCCCAGGTGAGAGAGGGGAGCCCCAGGAATCAAATGATACCTGGGGCTCATAGTTACCAGCAAGGTAATAGACCCTGCTGGAAAAATACTGCATGACGGAAATTATCTGTCATGCGTCCATAAGGGTAGGACTAGCATGACGGAAAATTTCCATCATGCGTCATTAAGGGGTAAGAGGCCCAACAGAAGCCTAGGAATAAATTAATCCAGCTGCTATTTTAAAAGGCCCAGCAGAGGCCTAGGAATAAGTAATCCAGTTGATATATTAAAAAAAGACACAGAGGCCTAGGAATAAGTAATCCAGTGGATATATTAAAAGACACAGAAGCCTAGGAATAAGTTTGATTGAAATTCAGATTAGCAGGAATCTCTTACCATTTAGATGAAACCGATGAAGGGTACAAGGGGTTATATCCATATATATGCCCACCCTGCTACTCCTTGATCACTGCAGGAAATAGGCTGATGGCAAAATCTTGCTACATCTAGGGTCACAGCAAGTAAATCCATGGGAAAGTAAAAGATAGTGAGTTGTACTTTAACCCTTTCAGTGATGGAATGCTAGTCCATCTCACATTAACTCTTTCAATGATGAAATTATAGTTAATCTCATAGAATCCTTGCAATCCATGTGCTCTGTAAGTGCATGTCCAGCCTGCTACTCCTTGGTCACTCCAGGAAATAGGATGATGGCATAATCTTGCTTCCCCTAGGTTCACAACAAGTAAATGCATGGCAAAGTACAGGATAACAGAGTTGTACTTTAACCCTTTCAGTGATGGAATGCTATTCTGTCTCACATTAACTCGTTCAGCGATGAAATGTTAGTCAATGTCATTTTAATCCTTGCAATCCATGTGCTCTGTATGTGCATGTCCAGCCTGCTACCCCTTGGTCACTGCAGGAGACAGGGTCATGGCATAATCTTGCTACCCCTAGGGTCACCGCAAGTAAATCCATATGCTCTGTATGTGCATGCCCAGCCTGCTACCCCTTGGTAACTGCAGGAATTATGGTGAAGGCATGATCTTGCTACCCCTAGGGTCACAGCACGTTAGAACCCCCGGTCACTAAAGGGGGTCTCTCCAGGGGGTCACCTTTGCACAGGACTGTGTACTGGAGACTGCCCAAGGGAGAGAGGCTGAACTCCATTGAGGGAGAAGGTAACTACCCTCAGGAAAGCCAAAAATAAAAATTCTCTAGTCTTAGAATGACTAAGTCTGTTCTAGGGATAGGACAGGAACAAAAAGACTGAGGGTGGGAGGGATGGAAGGGGTTACTTATACCTTCTGTTTTAATTAGGTTCCTGTCTGATTAGGGATAGGGAGGAGCTTGATCAAGCTGAACATTTTTGTTGAAGGGGTGAAGAAGTACCCTAAATTTAAGAAGTTTACAATCTATGAGGAAGTGGTAAGAAACACAGGTGGAAGAACATCATGTCAGAGGGGATGAGGAATTGATGGATAAGATGCCTGTGTCAAAATAAGTTAATAAAGGTGTTGTGTGGAAGAACCAAACAGTGAAAGAGTGAGGGAACTGTGAGAGTCAAGTGTAATGAGAAAAGCATCACCCAGGGAGATAGTTGGTTATCCTATAGAGATGTGTTTTCAGTGACTTTTTAAAGGACTGGATGCTATGGGAGAGATTATTGGCACAGGGTAAAATATTCCCTAGGAATTGTGCAGCCCCTAAAAATCCTGCAGTTGAGAACTAGCATTGCTGGAACGAGCAGATCTCTAGCTATGAGGTTAGTTAATGACGAAGTTGCAGTGGGGCAGTGAAGGGAGTTAAAAATGTGGAAAAGGTGTTTAGGATCATGATAGTAAGCTCAGATGAGAAAAATAAAATACTCTTTAATACGGTAGAAGTATTACGACGTAGCATGAATTTGCAATACGTTGCTTATTGAAATAGACTATTGCAAGGCCTCCAGAAGCCAAATAATTATTACAAAAAACAGTCGATATAAACATGGCCTTATTTGATGAAATTATCAAAATTACCAAAATTATTTAGTATCAATAGAAACCATGTAATAAATAAAAATATCCTTGCCTATGTATAGTACCATAACATTTATCCATAGTAAATGTAAAACTTTGCCTTTTTATTTTTGCATTTTTTTTTTATTGTTGAGTTATTAATATATAGTTAATTTTCTAAATAAAGGTGTATAAGCACTGTATTGTGAACTTAATATTCTATAAAGCTATAACAAATGGCAGAGTCACATATAACCTAGCTCTGGTGCTAGAAGCTCTAGAGACCTTACGCGTGACCCTCCTCATGCTGGATGGATATGTGTAAGGAATGTAGTAGTTCTTCCCAATACATCTGTAGATAATCTCAGAAAAGTGTATAAATAGGGTGATATTGTTTTAAAAGAACTTTCACCATAAATACAAATGCCTTGCTAGCCCGGTGGGAAATACACCACTGCTCTCCAGATTCCCAGGTTCCTTAAAAATAGACTTTAAAAAGATTCTATAGTAAAATTGCCCAATGTTTTTTTTAATAGCTCCCCTAACTTTTTTTCTTGTCCCTACAGTAGTTACATATAAAAGAGACCTCTGTCTTTGTTTTATCACTTTTGGTTTATGTTTCAATAATTACATCCTGTCTTTATTTTTTATTTCCAGTCTGGATGTCTCTAATTTGTTTTTGTTTTTCAACCTTTATTTAAAAAGTCTTGTTTGAGTTTTAGAGATTATCTCTCAAAAGTCTCTTTATCCATACAGTTCTTTCTTATTCTTAAATGTTGTCCTTTTAGCGCATTTTCTAGCCAGGGTGAACAACTGTGTCAACTGTCTCTCTCAATAAAATGTTATGTTAGCGTCAACAGCATTAAAATAGTTAATTTTTTTTTATAGTTTCTTCTTCAATAAAAATATTAATGTCTAATAAACTTACTTCCTCTGATCTCCGAACACTAGTTTATTTTATCCCCCATGTATTTGCATTTAAAAAATATAAAACATTTATTATTCCATTTCTTCCCCCTTCCATATAAAAAATATATCATCGGGGGAGTGTCCGACTTCCGGCCTGATCGGACACATGAATTGAGAGCTCTGTTCTACACTGAGCCAAAAACGCCAAGAAACAGCACAATTCGCCCAAATATAAAGACAACGACGTGAGGTACAAGCTACTGAGAGAGCAACATGCCTCCATCGAAACAACTGAAGCTTACGGATCCATTCCGGCATAATAATAGAGACAGACACAAGCATGCTCAAAATGGCGCTGACTCCGGAGCCCAATCCCCGGCCTCCGAAGGCCTGTTGGAGCAGGATCTCGCTCAAGACACCGCAGGAGGTGGACACATAATGAAAAATCCCTAAAACAAATGCTCCAAAATGGGAGTACTTCACCTCGTCCAACATACATAAAGAGCTACCGGAGAGTGGGGATCGCACAGATCACCTATAAAAAATACGGAAGAACTCTGCACAGCCCACAACAAGGTCGTAGACCAGCCCCACAAACTGGAGGAAGAAAGCACAAAATTTTGGCACAAACTGCTAGCCCGAAGATATATCGCGCCACAATAATGTGAGATTCTGCGTCATAACTGAACAGATTCCAACCTATATTACAGCCATGTGCTCAGCTCTGGTCCCTAATCTGGATGAAAAGGCATGGACATTGGATAAAGCTCACCATCTGCCGAGACCTCCTTGCTTCACAACAGACACACCACGTGACATAATAGTCAGCTTTCACTATTATAAATCTAAAGAGGCCCTCCTCACCGCGGCTAGAACAGTAACTGCATTGCCAACACTGTATGAAGGGATATCATATTTGCAGACCTCTTGGCCTTCACAATGGCCAGGAGGAGAGAGCGTTCTACTATCACAAAAAACCCTTTGCAACCACAAAATATCCTATCGCTGTGGATACCTGTGGATGAACGTTATTGTGGACTCAGAAGGCGGACTCACCAAACTCAAAGAATGGCATACATCAGACTCGAAATCTGCAGCATCAATATCCCCAAAAAGAATCCAACCCGAATGGAAGATGGCAGGATCATCCTAGCGTTAATAAGCCACCTCGCACCACATCTATGTCCATCGACTTACCACCTTACAAAATCTGGTATCCCTGACTTCTGGCTTTCCCTTATTGTTGAGTCCCATTCTGTGTTCCCCGACCTCAGCAAGTATGCTGACTATTCTTTGGTGCGTTACGTCTGACCATTCGAAGGCCCAGTAATATGTTACCTTTTAGTTCTAGGTGTGACACAAGTCTATGTGCTGGATCAATTAGTAATCCTGACATTACGACAGGGCCATAGATATTGTAGAATTGTGTCAGCAAATAGCAGCTTGCGAGAGAAAACTAGAGGAGAATGATCACCATATGGATCAGAGGAGACTTGATCTACTCTCAAAAAGCATAACTCTGACCTCCAACAGGACGCACAGCCTAAAGAACACAGGGACTATATATCTCTACAAGATGGTGAAGAAACCAGCACCTTTTACACATATCTTCCATACAGAAACCTACTTACCTGCAC